TTTCACCGAAAAATTTCAGCACAAACCCGATTTTTTTTCTCGAAAATGGATAGGATTTTGGGGATATGTGTAATGACCATAAATGATTGTAATTGAGCCCCACATACAAAAATAATTTTTTTAGAACGATTTGAAATTTTTTTTTTCCGTCGATACATTTCACACATTTCAAATTTTTTTCTAAAAAATGGGTAGGATTTCGGGGGTATGTGTAATGACCAAAAATGATCGTAATTGACCCCCGCAAACGAAAATAATTTTTTTATAAAGATTTGAAATTTTGGAATTTAATTGTTAATAACTTTTTAACGAAGCCTCCATCAACAAATTGGTATTCTTGATTTTCGTCTTATTTTGGCCTCTAGAATCCCTCATTAAAATTTTTCGCAGGGGTGGCCGAACACATAGATATCGATAGCCAAAGAGATTTATTAATTTAATATCACATGTTTTTTTTAAATTTAATACGTGTGCACGTGTAATGATGGTGATATCTTATTAATATTCATCTTCCATTCTATGTAAAAACACTTAACGTTCAAATCACGCCGTGAAATGGTCGAAAAATGACCTATTATCTGTTTTAGTGGGTGATGGCTTTTAATCGAGAGGAAACGCGGAATGGGCAAGGCCTGGCTGATGCGCTAGCAGTATTCATAAATTGCTATAGATAGCACCGTTAATGGCACTCGGTGTCACCCACGTGAAATTCAACGCTTATTTGCTAACGACGCTGACACCGTAGGAAAATGAGGTCGCTGGTAATTAATTCACCTTTGGCTTTTGCCCACGACGCGCGCCTGATTCCGTCGATTCATTTGGCGCAAAACTGATTTTCATTGCGACTCACCGCCGGACCGTTCAAATTACCGTTTTGTAATCTCGAATCTTATTCGAATTAAAATCGAATTTTATTATAATTTTATTCGATTTTAATTCGAAAATTCAACAATGGAAATCATCGAATTCAGATTCCATTCGTGGCTGAATGGTAAACATCTTGTTATTTTTAATTTTATAAATCGACCGTGTCAATGAACGAAACAAAATAATAGATTAAAATAAAAGAAAACTATAGAGATTAAAATATTAGGGAGACCGGAAAGTAACGTCGTTACTTTTACATTAAATTCATACATATAATATAAACTTTGTACAAGGTTTTATCTTTAATCATGTAATTATCCTCGTTATCAACAACCTTTTGCCGTCTAATGTGTAAATTTTCAAGATTGTTAGTAACGAGGACGATTACATCATTGATTCTAAATAGAAACTTGTTAAAAACGTACCTCTTTGAATTTGATGTAGAAAAGCGACATCACTTTACTTAATCAAATTTAAAGAAAATAAATCGCGAAAATAATCACCTCGGTAAAATTTAGTAACCCGTGGAAAAATTCGCGAACATCGATTTGGCAGTAAAGGTGTACGGAATAAAATTTAGAGAAAAGAATCGTCGATCGGATCGAAAAGTTGGAAATAATTTTGCAAGCGTGAAAAATTTAAAAAGAAAAAGCAGAAACAGTAAGTTCGAGCGAAGAATCGCGAACAATGTTTTCTCGTTGAAACGAACGAAGTCGCGTATTTTTTTTTCTCCTAGATCGGGAATTAGCATGCAGCTCTCGGTCATTGTTTCGCGTTCTCGGGCAGCTTCGGCTCGCAACAGTGCCATTTTTGCGTAATCCGGTGAAAGCTGCATTCAACGCGAGCCTCCTCCAATTTCCACGCGGCTGGTCTACTTCTTTCGCGTTTGAAAAAATTTTTCCCGCGCGCTTTGCCAAGTTTGGGATCGCTAGACGGCTCCGGGGAAACGAATACGACCCAACTGTTAGTGTAATTAATTATTTACGACCGTCTGGACCAGTAATCGGCCACTTGATAAGAACACTGTTTATTTTATTAATTTCTTAGGTTGTGTAACAAAAATTATGTTTTCAGTTTCTTGAAAATTGTTGACATTTGTAGAATTTTTTGTGGAGATTATTTTTCTCAAATTATCGCACATATATCACTGAGAATTAGTGTTCTTATAAAATTTATAATCTTTCTTTAAATATGTGAATAGTTTCAAATAGTTTGGAAGTTTTGAAAAATGAAGAAATCGTTGCTCCGAAAAATTCTATTATTTTAAATATTATCGACGATTTTATTATCGAGAAATAGTACGATAGACTCTGAATAGCGATTGCGAATGTGTGAACGGATTTATACACATAGAAGCAGTTTTCCAGGAAAATAGAAGAGTGAAAATGTAGGAAGAACGCAGCGAATTGTTCGAAATGGCATCGAGTATCGGTATAAACAATTTTTCCTAGCGTCTTCGTGCATACGCGTGCTAGGAGATACGGAAGTAGGTCGCCGATAAGTCGAGTCGATATAGTTTTCTAAAGGAATCCACCAAAAGCCATTCGTTCACTGGGTCACATAAATTTTTAGAAACGTCTGCAAAGTAGTTCAAACGTTGCAGAATATATCAGAGTGTATCTTAAGTGACTAATCAACGTCGCCAAAGCTTTGAATGATGCTCATTGATATACTACTCTCATAACATAACATAGACGCAATTGTATATTGGGGGATAAAATAAATTGAAAATGTAGAATTAAATTTGAATTGAATCAATTGAATACAATTTTTATATTCGTATATATTAAAGGGAGATTCTGGAGACCAAAATAAGACGAAAATCAAGAATATCAATTTCTTGACTGAGGCTTCGTTAGTAAGTTAGTAAGTTATTAAAAAATTAAATTAAACAATATCAAATCATTCTAAAAAAATTATTTTCGGTTGCGGAGGTCAATTACAATTATTTTTTATGAATAGACATACCCCCGAAATCCTACCCACTTTCGAGAAAAAAATTCAGGTAGGTGATGAAATTTTTCGGTGTAAAAAAATTTTTCAAATCTTTATAAAAAAATTATTTTCGTTTGTGGGATTCAATTGCAATCATTTTTGGTCATTACACATACCCCCGAAATCCTACCCATTTTCAAGAAAAAAATTCTTGAAGATGCCTACATTTTTCGACGAAATTAAAAAATTTCGAATCGTTCTGGAAAAATTATTTTCGGTTGCGGGGGTTAATTACAATCATTTTTGGCGAATGGACATATCCCCGAAATCCTGCGCATTTTCGAGAAAAAAATTCAGTACGGGCGGATTTTTAAATGTTAATAACTTTTTAACGAAGCCTCCATCAACAAATTGGTATTCTTGATTTTCGTCTTATTTTGGCCTCTAGAATACCCCATTAAAATTTTTCCAGGGGTGGCCGAACACCCTGTATAACAGAAATTTCATTCCAAAACAATGTATTAAATAGCGATTTTAATTCACGTGATTTAACGGTGACAAACTGTACAATTCAAACCTTTCTTGTATAAACATTACCAAGTTGAACCTGTTAGTTGTATCATGCTCATGAAAAATTTCACGAGTCTCGTTTGCACTATCGTTCATCGATAGTTCAATTAAATCGTTATTTAATTAGCAAAACAATAATACAGATGCTATTTTGGCGACGCAGTGTTTCCCACATTGTTCAACGAGACTGCAATAATTAAATTTTAATTGAAGCCATTTCCTCCAATTTGAATCTATCGTTAAAGAAATCTGAACTCTGTCAATTATACAACGAACGAAATTTTAGATCAACTAATAAAACAGTGTCTCGAAACAGACAACAAAGTATAGTTGATTGGGTCCGTTACGAGATACGAACGATCGTTTAATTAATTTGCCCCGTTCGGAGTTGATAATTATATGTGCGCGGAGAAAGAAACCGTGCAATTAGGTAGATCGTTAATCGATGCACCGCGGCGATAACAGTTCAATTAATATCCGATCTAATGAACGTTTTCTCCGGCGACTGACGAAATAATTTACGACGTAGACGGCGTCGTGTTCCGCGGTGTGACGGGTGCTTAATTGTTCACGACGAAAACCGCGAATTATGCGATCAGGACGATAAAGATCAGGGCCATCGGAGCGGCTTAATTGTTTCACGTAATCCTGCACCGGCCTCGCGCGGTTGCATCGTTCACACGAGTGCATCGTTGCTCGACCGTGTGCACTCGCGTCTTAAGTAGCGATGGGATTAACTCGTTCATCGTTCGGAATTTTTTCGCCGATGCAAACCGTAACGATCGTTGAAATGGAAAGCCGGAGAAAAGTGTAAACAATTTATTTCGCTAGACAGAGCGACGCGCTCGTTATTTCCAACGAGCAACTTACAGATTTAAAACATTCACACTTCCATTTTAGAAAGACTGGAAGCTTTCAATTATATTTTTATTCGAGTTAAATTTTGGTAATATTTATACGCGCGTAATAAGAAATAATAGTGTTGATGATTTGTGGTGAGTGAAAGCGTCGTTTTAAAGGGGCCTTTAGACGATTCTGTACCTGAAAACCACAGAGGGGTGACGAAATTGATTTAATTGGCCCGATTGCCCTTGCTTGGCCGGTCACTCGATAGTGTATCACACGCTTGACCCGAGTGGAGTTCAATGGAAACGCTTTCATTAATTTTGGGGGTCCACCAGATTCTATTCGAGGGGAGGATATGCGTACGTCGAGAACCATACACCGTATATTTCATAAACTGTCCTGCGACACGAATACAATTCTAATCCTGATAGGAATAATAAATAAAATTTCAATTCGTTACTCTTTAAATAAAAATTAAATATTTCCAATGCAATGGTTGGATATATTGGATATAAAATAAACACGGTTTAATTAATAATAAGAATAAATAAGAATCAAATGCTTGGACTAGAACTTCTATTACACTAGAGTTTTATTAATATTACAATTCTACATGTAATTTAGAATTCTGTAGAATTACTATCAAAAATATCTACAATTTAATGGTAAATATAAGTTGGTACAAAATATCACACACGTTTTAAAATTTTCGAGACAAATCAATTTTATAAACGTATTTGATGGAAATTGTTAATTGTGGTTGGTTAATTTTTCTGTTGCAGGTGAGTTGAAATCATTGTCCTTGCCAAGGTGCTTTCCACCAGAAATAACGATGGACCAACACGACAAAGGTAAAGATACGAACAGCTGATCGGCTGAAAAATCGATCGCCATTAATTACGAATTTTATTCTAATTATAAATGCCATTGTTCCGCGAGAACGCATCAGGGCGTTTCCTCGATAATCGTAGGTAAAGGATCCTACGAACAAGGGTCTGCCTTCGTTCTTATTTATGGACAAATTAACCTTGGGAACCTGTGCAATTATTTTTTACACGGAAATATTCAGTTGTCAGACTTCAAATATTTTTGACCTGTGCATTCAAATTATTCACAAAAATAATGGGCAAAATTCTCGTTTGGATAAATACTTCGAACAATAAATTAACAATAAAAAATTATTTATTCGTCATTCATCGAATTTGTAATTTTATAAAAGAAATATTTTACTAGACTTCCAGCATAATATATATATTTTTTTATCACACGGAAATTAATTTCTAATAACATTAAATCATAATTGTAGAAATTATTTTTACTACTAAAAGCTTCTTTTGTTCTGAATTTATGTTTAAATGATTGTAATTTCGCTTTAAACAATTTCTGAGAAAGACTCGAACCTCTGGAACAAAAAGTAAAAGTTTGAATCAATATTTGTCACGTTTATTTATTGCACATTAACGAAGTCGGTTCTCTCCCGAGATTCGTTCGTTTCTGAATTATTCAACGTCGCAAAACGAGCATAATCGCTCGATGTAATAATTTTATCCGTAGCAAATAATATCTCGAGACGCGAAACGAGCTGGATTCCGTGACGGAGCGCGTTGAAATTGTCGTAGGTAATTGTACAGCTAGTCCGATTCTTGCAACTAATTTGCAATAAGGTTTTGCGAAGAGCATCGCGCTGGAAACTTAAAGTAGCTCGGCTGCGGAAAGAACAAAAGTGCCGCGGAACGAAGTGTCTATATTGGTTGGATTTTTTGTTCGTTAAAGTTTCCAACAAACAACCACCTTTCAGAGCGTTCCAGCAAACGGAAGAACTGCTTTTTCCCGGTGGAAAATGAACGCTGGGAGTTCTTAACGAATCTTTACTACTAACAGACCCAGTTCGAGACAAACTCCTTTCGGGAAAGGGAAAAATTAATTTTTAAAATTACGACCCCGGGGGAAAAAACATTTGTGAAGCAAACCGTGCCCTTCTCGGTTATTAAAATTACTTATATCGCTCTACGAAGCTTTTTAATAGCAACAAAGAATTTCATTTCAATATTACTTTCAAATTTTTTTCAAATATAACAGTTTATAAATTTTATAAAAATTTTATTTTTTATTCGTTGTTCGAAGGCTTTTATCCGAATAAAAATTTTACTCGGTACAAATTCTACATGAATGAAAAATCATATTTGAAATTTAGTGTATAATGCAAATTATACCAAAATAACAAATGTCGAATATAATTTTCTGTTTACAAAATAATATAAGCACAGAATATTGTCTTTCTGGTGGTGAGAAAGCGTTTTTTTGAGATACTGATCGTATCTTGTATAAAGCAGAATTAAATTAGGATCATAAATGAGTAGCTTAAAACTGTGAACGTCGAAAGAGACTTCTGTCGTCGTAGTTTGTATCCGATATTCAGCTGTATCAATGTCTCCCGTTCCTATTGTGGTTGAAGTGCATTTGCGCTCGACCGATTTGCGTGAGGCTATTGCTTAATTATTCAAATAGGCGCACATGCGGCCGCGATTCCACTTGCAGCTGCTGTTTACCGAGGCAAACGAACGGACCAGCATGTTTCCGCTCGCACACGTTCGACACGCGACCCGACAGGCCCTAGGACTTGTTTCGACGTCTCTTTTTCCACGCCACGGACCCGTCCAATGGCCTGCTTTTGCCTTTTATTTCTCTCGCTCTACGATATTAATGCAACCAGCGTCCTTGTCCTTCGAACCAATTTTCCATTCGCACGCAACCAGACTTGAGCTCTTCTTCCCTTTTCTGCCGCGTCCACGCGATACACTAGTACCTCGATTGATGCAGAAAAATGGGCCTGAAAATTTCTGCAATTATCGTGGTTCCCTATCCCCACTTACACAGAGTATATTTACCAATTCACCACTATTGTTTAATTACCTAACTTAAAACATTGTCAGTGGTGGATATAAAAGTCCATAGTAAACAATCTGTTAACTACTTTTTGATAAATAACAGAAGCCTTTAGATTCTTATTTTTATTTAGGTCCTCTGTAACAATTGAAAATTAATATAGAAATAATTACGGATCCATAAATTATTTTCTTTACTATTTTTTATTTTTCACTTTCCACGCGAAGAAGTGTATAACGTCACCTCGTATGAGAGATTACGCGGTGGCCTTTATCGATCGACTTCCGGCGCGAGAGGATCACCAAGGCCCCGTAAATCCCTGAGAATCAATTAGGAAATACCGCGAATGGTTTCGTCATTGATCCCCATGCAAATTTTGTCCTTCTTCGGTGAAAATTAGCCTTCGCTAGATTGTCTCCTTCCCCGGAGGTGCAAGAGAGGCTGGGAGCTCGTTAAACCGTATTTCGAATTCCTCGATCCACACTCGCGGTCGTTACATCGACACTGCGCCCCTCCAAATTGTGGCGTGGAAATTCCAGCGCCAGGGAAACAGTATCGTTTAGAACACCGGTGACGAACCTTTTTGCATTCATTGGGGACACGATTTATTCAAGGGTTCGACGAAAATTACGAGACACGATGTATTTTCATACAGAAACATTTCACTGTATTTTTATTTCGACCTGAATATATCACAGAAATTTTTTAAAGCCTCAGTTTCATATAAAGTTATTTGTATTCATACGATATAATAGAGATTCTCTATAAATGGAAAAAATTTGTTTCTTCGCGATATTGAAGTGTTTAAATAAAAATAAATTATTAATAATACTTGTGAACGGTCGTGGCAAGTTGGAAGAGTTGGTTCTCGTCCGATCACCGAAGTGCAGCTGCATTGGGCGCAATCGACCTTAGGATGGGTGACCGCTTGGAGGAAAAAAACACATATTTCTTGATTTCTGTATCGTTTATTGTTGTTGTACTGTCTATATTATTATTCCTCTCTATCAGGTGATATAGTTGGACATATTATATGCATATTAAAAAACAAACAAAAAGGAAAACTACTCTTTGTAAATAGAATTAACACAGTGTAATAAAAACAATATTAAGTAAAAAGAAAAATTCGTAAGCAACTACAGTTGTGTGTTTCTTCTCATTTATAGTGAATTACACACCATTATAGTGCAGGAGTACGAGATATATGGTGTCCCAAAAACCATGGTCGAGACACAGCTTTGTCTGAAACAAAAAACACAGATTTCTCTGAGTCTATAATGGCGACAGAGGAAAATAAATTGTCCCAATTAATCCGTATGTATAGTAGAAATTAATCCCCGGGATAATTTCCCGCGTGTAATTGTCCACTTTGTCGGTTAAGTTTCCCTTTCCCCCAGACGTTTCATTAAGCGACATAAAAATCCTCCTGTTCGTTTCGCCGAGACATTCGTGTTGAGTCGGTTTAACGCGTGCGAAGTGGCGTTTTCGATTTGACGGCGCAAAGGCATCCACGAGTGCCACTCGACCCGGCTTTCGCGGGGAAAAAATGGGTAACTTCGCTCTTTGTGGAAGCTCTCGTTAAACTTGCCCCAGATTTCGAGTGGTGTCTGAGTCGCGCGCAGCGGTTAACTTCTCGAATTCCGAGTAATTTCTGCGGGTCAAAAGCTCCGAGCGAGCTCCGACGATCGACACGTAATGAACCGCGCCCTGGGAATTCCACGAGTAGACAAACTGATTCTATCCTCGAAACGAGAGGGAAATTGCAGCTTCGACCGCTGTTTATTAAAATTGTTTGCTCGTAGACAAACAAATGCAGCGTTAAACGTTTCAACGTGACTTCTTTGGTATCATAAAATTGTCCTAAATAGGTACGAAGTTCAGATAATATAATTTTTTTCAGCTTGTGTAGATCGCCTTTATTATTTACCATTTTATGAAATCTTATGAAAAAGCATCTAAAAGTAAAATTTTATTTGTATATTTCATACAGTAAAATGATCTATTTAGGTAACAATTTGCGCGCCTCGAACGCAATCGTGATCTTCCAAATTTCGTTCGAAAAGCGGGTCGCTGGAGGTTCCGCGAAACGTGTTACGGCTTTGTTGCGTAACTTTTGCTCGCATGGAAATTAGCTCTTGGCACCGGTCCTGAGGAAACGCCACGACGATTTCATTGATGTAACTTCGGATAGAGAACTTAAGCCACGGTTATAGCTTCCCCGTGGAAGCGGAATTGGACTGTTCGCGAGGCACGTTTACAATGAACGCCCGGGCTTTCCGGATTTACGTAACGCGCGATTCGAACAATGGAACTTTATTCGTCTTCTAATATCTGTATGATATATCGCGGACGTAATGCAACATATGGAAAATAAAAGGAAAGCAGACAACAATAGCCGCTGCTATGGAAAAGTGAGCGGAGCTCATTCAATTTAAAAATCGTCTGGGAATTGTAGAAAAATCTTGTGTAAGCTTTTTATTTAAAAAATTTGTTCAGTGTTTCTTAAACATCGTCTTAGTAATTACAATTTAAAACTATCCGGTAGAAAAATTATTTATTCGCTGCATAAAAAATCTTTATTTATAAAAACATTAAAAAGCTTGTATTTCAAAGTGTGTATACATAAATTTCAAGTAGAAAAAAAATACATCGAGAGTCCGGGAATTGAACGTCAGCCAACTGGAGTGGTAGCATCTAGCATCTTGCCACCACCATCAAACAATAAAGTTTCGATCGCGAATATTTCGATAACCATTGATCATATGCACCTATAACGCTATATCTTCTTGAAAGAGACGACTAGATCTACAAGTATGCAAAGTTTCGATGAAATCAGTGACCCTAAGATATTTCCCGTCCTCTCACGGGAGACACGCGTTCGATCTCGTGCATCCGGGGTTCCCTACGAGCGATTATCGTCACCATCCTCGGCTCCGATGAGCATTGTTAACCCGTATTTATGACGCGGCATGGCCAGGAGCCAGG